AACCAGCATTCGAATTGCGCAGCTTCTCAAAGAGACTTGCTCGTCGAAGGATGGAAGTGATATGGGGCGGGAGCATGTTTGCTTCGAGAAGAGCGGACTGAGAGTGCGTGGTGGACAACAGACCTGTAGCGCATCTGGCTAGAGAATTGTGCATAGAGATAACTTTATTTTGGGCGCTCACATTAGCCGAAGGTCATGTGAGTTCAATCCCATAAGAGGGCTTGGAGACTCCATACCCTAAGACAAACTGTCGCATGTCTCGGGGCATGGGACCATGCTTCTTCTGGGCTACTGCTCTAAGTTGGTGTAGACGCGTGTAAGTCGAGGCAATGTTGGAAATCAGGTTGTTGTTGAAGTTGTCGCGTGGGTCGAGCCTGATTCCAAGGAGCTTGGGCATATCGGACGATCCTATGGTGTGTATCGGGATTTCTTGGTCGTTAATCTTGAGGGCGATGCTTGATTCAGGGTCTTCTTGAGTATGGGACGAGAGCGTAAAGAGGACGGATTCACATTTACTGGCATTGACTGATAAGCTATTCTCATTACTCCATGAATGGATAATCTCTAGTGCTTTGTTTGCTAGAAGGATTGCTTGGTTCCTGTTTTCGGAATAAAGCACAGTGGTTAGGTCGTCTGCAAACATCTCTGCGGAGACACCTGCAATGCTATTTAAGATGAAGAGCAGGGGATTGACATACATGAGGAAGAGGCGAGGGGCGAGCACGGAGCCTTGGGGGACTCCGCGGTAGGTCTTTCGTGAGCGACTATAATCTTCATCGATACAAACGCGACTGTGTCGGTTACAGAGGAATGCCTTGAGCCACTGTCAGATGGCAGTGCTGCCTGAAATGAGAGCGAGTTGGTTACATAGTCAGTTATGGTCTATGGAATCGAAGGCTTTGCTAAAATCAATCATCACTATGAGCGTGGGGTTGAGGCGGTAGTGCTTCTGAAAACTATTGGGTAACATCTTCTTGGGTATCTGTACTTCATGGTATTCATTGCGGCTCCGTTCAATGGTATCAGTAATTCTGGTAAGAGGCATAATGGTAGTGTGAAGGCTGCGGAAGGCGTGTTGGCAGTCATGAGGTTTCCAGATGCGTAAAAGGCGAGTGGTGATCATTTTCTCAAAGAGCTTGCAGGTGCATGAGATCAGGCTGATCGGCCGGTAAGAGGACAAACTGGCTGGGTCTTTGCTAGGTTTGAGCAGTGGGAAAATGCAGGCCATTTTCCACACTGCGGGAAGTTCGCCAGTGGAGAAGGAAAGATTCATAATTTGCAAGAAGAATTCGAGGGACTCGTTAGAGAGTTGTGTCAGCAATTCGTAATGGATCTTATCGGGTCCAGGGGCTTTGGAGCTCAGCGCAGAGTGCAGAGCTGCCTTTAGTTCTGTGAGCGTAAAAGACTCATCAAGGTGAGGATCAGGGTCCTCGAGAGAAGAGAAACCAAGAAAGGAAGCAAGCGAGAGGTTATGCAACCTCACCCCTTCCGGTAGCAACAAGAGGCAACGCAATCCTAACCGGTCAGGGTTAGAATTCACCAAACTTGCATCTCTTGCACGCGGTCTGTCAGATCTACAAAAGAATTTAAAAGAAAAAGGAATAGAAAAAGAAGAAGAAAAAGGGGGGGAGTGAGAAAAGGGGAGGGAAGGACTCGCCCTTACACCTCTCCAGTGGCAGAACCACCTGACGCCCCCCTTCTGCCCTTGATTCCTAGAAGAAGAAGAAGGAAGAAAAGAGGAAATTGGAGAGGAGGAAGCATCATGTAAATACCTAATGAGTTTGCGTGGCCTTATTTGGAACTTTAATGTACTTTGTGGGAGACTACCTAAATTATGTGGAGAAAACCTAAAATTAGAAATGAGAAACCTAGTGAGAGAAAGAAAAGAGAACTTCGAAACAGAAGGCTTCTTCCAGATGGCTTGTCCTGAAGATGGCTGGCAAGCTAGTCGAAAAGAAAAGAGTAAAAAACCTATGTAAGAAGAAGAAGATATGAACCTATAACTAAGTAATCTATAAAGGTGGGGGAGATATAGATCTGAAGTGCGAGCAAGAGAGGCTTGGAGGCCCCTATTGCTACCTGGTTTCTTGCGCTTGAATGAGTGGGGCTTACTAGGGGGAAAGACGGGCAAGAACGCTTTCGCAAGACTATTTACTACTGCTTTGCCTGAGGTACAGACCTTTTGAGAGTCTCGGATGAGAACCCCGTTGAGAGATGGAGTCGGGGAAGCATAGCAGGCGGCGATGAATTTCCACGATAAGTTTTCACCGGGGTGTAATTTCGATATGGCTTGCTGATATCTTGAGCTGAGGTATTGACGGATGGCGGCGAAACGATTGGGATCCGCTTGCTGATAAGCGATGTGATTTTCCGTGAGTGACATGGAGAGGAATTGTTCCTTGGTGATGGCCTCTTGGTCGAGCTGCTGAATGTAGGTGGGCCAGGCGTCTAACTGCGCTTTAAATCGGCCTCTGGGGCAGCATCGATTCGCTGCCGCCAGAACGATGTTGTTAAAGACGGTTAGAGCGGAGTGTACGTCTGAGAAATTGAATTCAGGAAGGTTTGTCTTGACGAGCTGGCGGAAACGTTTCCAGTTGGCGTGCTTCCATCTGTATAACGTTCTGCCGTTACGATTCTGGAACATGGGGCCGTCGATGGGTAGGACGAATCGAACTTTGTGATGGTCACTGTCCGGGGCCACGGTGGTGCGCCAGTCGTGTATCGGGAGGCCCTGATAGAACGACAGGTCTAAGGTGCTGTGAGTATTTCCCCTAGCAAAGGTGAACTCTCCAATTCAGTTCCCGAGGAGAAATCCATTCTTTGTTAGCTGGTCAATGAGCATGTTGGCCCTGGCGTCTCCAGGTGACTCCAGCAACGGTTCCCAAATGGGATGCTGCAGGTTGAAGTTACCGCAGAAAAGACAGGGTAGGCCATTAACTTTCTCGAGCAAGTTGGCGAGGTCGATGGTGGTGAATTCAGCGTTGGGGCGTATGTAAGTACTATGTAAAACTTAAAAGTGGCCAGGACTGCGTGCAAAATGACGATTTCAATGCCTTCTCCTGCGGAGGGAAGGTCCACCCTCTCGGTGCGGATGCAGGAACTCTTCTTAATGAGGATGGTAACCCCCCCTCCACAACTACCTCTAGAGGAGCAGAAGACATTATAGCCATGCACTTTGAATCTGCTTTCTTGGTCTTTTCGTAGGTACGTTTCTTGAAGCAGAAGGATGTCACTCCCTTCTTGAGTGATGGCGGAGCATTTCACGGCGTTTAAGGAACGGACGTTCCATTGCGTTACACTGAGGGGTCCTGGGTTCTCGTGGATATCTTCACAACATAGAAGTAAGGCTTGAACACCCTTAGTATATTTGAAGCTGTATCTGGAAACCAGATAAGCGTTAACGGTGTTCAGTCGGAGTGTTTCATCCGCTCGGACAGCCTCAGGGGAGGCCCTGTCGAATGCCTAACGAGTACCAGTAGCCAAGCCTACATGCCTCCGCTGAAAACGGGAAGGCGTGCAGGCACTCAGCTTACATAAAATCACTACGAGACTTGGCACCACGAAGAAGTGACCGGCATATACCACGTACTATCCTAAATGACTTATTCCTCCGAGATCACGGTAAAAGGCGCCATGAGCTCCCTGAGGCGCGGCAGGGAGCGCAGTACGTTGACGTCCTTAAGTTGCCAGCACCCACTAAAGTCGAGCCGTTCCAGCAGCACGCACCGCGCTAAATCCCTTATCCCGTCATCCGTGATTGCAGTTTCGGATACGATGAGCTCCCTGAGTCTCGGAAGGGAGCCCAGCACGTTGACCTCAGTGAGCCACCTGCATTCACCAAGATCAAGGCGTTCCAGCATCACGCACCGCGCTAAATCCCTTATCCCGTCTTTAGTAATAGCGGTACCAGACACGATGAGCTCCCTGAGGCTTGGCAGGAAGCCCAGCATGTTGGCATCTGTGATTTTCCAGCATCCTTCTAGATCCAATCTGATGAGGTTGCTGCAGGTGAGGAGTCCGGTGATGCGTCCCAGGGTGATGGGGGTGTGACTAAGCAGCAAGTCCCGCAGCTGTGAAAAGCATGAAAGGTCCAAGGTGTCCACGTGACGGCATCCAACAAGCCTCAGCTGCAACAGCGTCTCCGGTGCCTGCACCTGCCGCACGCACTCCGGCTCCACGGACGATCCATCCAACCGCAGCGCTCGCAGCGTACGCTGGTGCTGGTTTGCTGTGGTCAGCTCCATCAGCGCGTCGGCGGCAAGGCCTTGGCCTCGGCGGCACTCGATCACCCGCAAAGGACTCGCGGCGAGCCATCGCCACAAGGCCCCAAACTCCCTGCCCGCGTAGTTGTCGGCGCGGAAGCTCCGCAACCGCGGTGCCGACAGGGCGGCAGACGTACTGGGTCCTCCCGTACCACCCCCCACAGGGCTCACGCCATGCCCATGATGCGGCGCCGAGGCGTCAAATATTCCCGTATTGAGAAAGTCCATCGAGAGGTGCTCCACCGTCGGGCTGACGTCCTTGAGGATAGACCATACTCCAGCACGCGCTCTCTGCTCTTCCTCCTCACTGGCGCCAGGGTCGCGTGCGCAATTGAGGAAGACACTAGTAATCGACGCCCCCGGCCACTGGTGCACCACCAGCCTCACTAATTTACACAGTGCGGGGAGGTGCTCGCAGTGGTCTGACTTCAGCACAATACTACCACGCGGCTTCCACCACCCCACCGGGGGCGGTTCCCCTGACGGCTCCGCTGAACTTTGTGGTAGCGGATCGGCATGCATAGTAATAGTGAAACCTCGCTGAAGGTTATGTGAAAAGGTGAATTGGCCTAGTTTCAGGCCGTGGCATTGCATTACCGCTACCCGAAAGGTCCAGCTGACGCATGCCAACAGATGAGTGATACGAGGTTCCGGTGGGTGGTAGCCATCGAATAGGCAATCCAGATATGGTTTGAGGCGTAGCCTACCGCAGGAAAAATAATCCATCGCGCAGTTGACAAATTAAAGCAATAATATAATGATAACTAATGCTACTACTACTGCTAATAATAATAATAAAACACATGATTCCAACATTTTGTACAGCTAATGTAACACCTTGAGGCTTGATCTTACCCCGAAACCGACATCATTTTTGCAAAAAAAAAAACAGAATGTAAACCTACGCAACATTCACACACCCTTTCCCTCTTAAGCATCGGGCGACTGAGGTGCAAGAAAGCTGAAACGACGACCCATGCTGCTCGATATAGACTACGGGGGAGGGTTTGCCTGAAGCTCGTGTGTGTTGATAAACAGGAAATACGTGACCACATGGGTGGGACTCTTCTTTTATTTATCCCCCTACCAATCGGATGACGTGTGGCAACCACAGGCGTATTCCCCGAGTCATGGACGTCACCCCACAGTGTGAGGCGCCTTTCCTTACATGGGGTGATTTATTTAGCCATTTTAAAGTCCATAAAGTGCTGGCTCGGTGCGATTCCTCCGTCGCTAGACCTCTTCAACACGCTGCTGTCGCCGCTTTCCGCACGCGATTTACAGGATACGTCCCTTCCGACATCGCCATCGGCTCCCACTGGTAACGACGTGACCTCATAGACCCTTGACCTGGGCGAGCCCTCATAGCACCACCTCTCAAGCTCGTCTAGTTGCGCTCTAGTGCCCTCCGCGAGGATCTCCACACGGCCATCCGGCAGGTTGTGAACCCAATCCGTGATGCACAGCTTCGCTGCCGCTTTCTGAGCGTGCTTACAGTAGAACACGCCCTGCACCTTACCGCTGACCAAAATACGACGGAGATGAGTCATAGATGGTGCAGTGGCGGACATTTCCCCCTGGGACTCTTCTAGCGTTATTCGTGTTATCACTCAAGATTGGCTTACAGCTTGTAGCTGCGAGTGTGGGTTGGTTGAGAAGAGAGCAGGTAGATCCAAAGAGAAGCCACAACGATTGCGTAAACGCGCGCGCACACATGCACGAAGAAGAAATGCTACATATTACAGCAAGCGCAGAGTCCCAAAGCCGGTGAGTCCAACAGTACGCAAGTTCGCAGCAGAGCGATTCAACAAGTCGAGATTCTAGCAAGAGGGTACAGGAAATTTATGGGATCTGAAATTTCTCTGAAAATGAATACGAATGTAGTAGGTATTAGGTCTAACAGCTACTCTTTGTATGCAAAGTTGTATTTACCTTCTAGAAATGAAATTATTGGAGATAAGCGCGCCATCTGTTTCGATATTTCTTTGAGCTTATCCTCCTAGATCGTTTACGTCCCTGAAACGACTAAGAAGCTGGATTTGAAATTTTACAAATCATGCCATCAGTAATGGCCGACATCCTTGATCAAAAACAATCCTTGCGTACACGCAGACGCATAAATTGTTGTGAGCCGCTTCTTGGGCTCAAGTGATTCAAGATAACTCGATGTAGTGGTAAGATATTTAATGGTGTTTCAGATATGGTGTGATTCTCTTGACATATGGTCTAATTTTATATGTTTCTTTGATCAAGCAATTGATAATGAGGACAATAAACTATAAACTCGGCGGGATTGTCTCATTCTATGCCGTGGGCAGTGTGTGCGAGAGCCACACACACACACACACACACACACCTAAAACGGGGACCGCACTGTCTTGATTTTTGAAGGCAGGGGGACCCCACCCCCGCGCTGAGCAGCAACGGGGCACTTATCTTGATCCACCTCATTCCGGCCCATTTTCAAACACCTGGGATGGGCTCCACATATTTTAGACAGGAGGGGGTGGTGGGGGGGAGGGGAGTGCCCCAAACCCTTCGAAATTGTCCCCCAATGCATCACAAGCGTGCTGCACTGCGGGTAAAAGTAGAACACAAAGCGGGAGACACTCCTGGGTTGGAAAAAAATGGGAGGGGAGGGGGGGAGGGTATCTGTGCCGGCCTATTCCAAGCAAAGCCCCTACCTGTGACGAAGAACAAAGGGGTAATGAATATTAAAAAAATGACTGACATAGGTATACCTTTAACAAGAGGCTTGCGTTTGAATTGATTTTTTTGATTTATCCTAGGTAGATTCATCATTAGATAATTCCCATTCTCTAATGGATGAACTCATTGCTCTAAAAGGGATGAAGAACCCTGTCCACAAAAAAACAGGGGGGGGGGGAATCTTTTACTTTCTTAACATATCCAAGTTGAGAGGAGTGACCATGGCTCGGTATCGCATAGCGATGTCGTGGTTTGATCGCGAGTTCAACTCCTCGCGTGGGCGTGCCGCTGCCAAGGATCTGGGTTGGCCAGGCGCCGTGTCCGCATACCCAACCTCATGGCTACGTTTGATGGACAACGGTGCTTGGTTAGGTTTGGGGCACCTTGCTCGCCTATGGGATTTCTCTTCATAGGACGTGGGGTCATGCGATTGCTTCCGGATGGAAACGTGACCGTTGTGGGCAACAATAGGTTGCTCCCTCGGCAAATGCTGCGTAAAGGATAACACCGTTTGTTTTTCTTTCACTTTCCTGGAGATATCATCGGTGTTCGCTGATGGGTGGTGGATAACCTTCTGTTGGGCTGAGAAGTTGGAGGACATGGGGAGAACCTTGAAGGGTACGATGGCCTTTTGATCAAATATGCATGAAGTCTGGCGAAAGTATTCCTCCATTTCACGATGAACTCGAATTTTAAGCTCTTCTAAGGAGCGACTCTCTTGCACAGTGTTATCATCAGCGATAGCAACTTCAATGCTGGGAATGTTTTTCCCTTCCATACGCGCCTGCGCGATCTCCTCCACACCCATCAGAGTTTTTTTCAGTCCAGAAGTGCCTTGTCGCGCCTCAGGAAAAGTATTGGGGACCTTTTTGATGTTAATGTGTTTGGAAGGGACGACGGTAGCGTTTGAGTTGTATCCTAGAGTTGTTTTGGTAGACTCCAAACATCTGTCTTTGGCATGCGCTCTTTGCGTATTGAGTAGCGTGGCCCTGCGCTTGAGAGGAGAACGATTTCCCTGTTTCCCTGTCATCGCATGGTACGCGATGTTCATCTTCGGCTCTCGTTGCATCACTTGACGGGCCTTTGGAATGCAAATTTCTCCTGGATTCCGTTGCATCCCATCCACACTATACATAAGTTCACGACCGTGATTCAATAGGTCCCCAATCATGTTTATGGAAGATCGAATCTCGTCCATAGATGTCGATTTCAACTCAGGGGCTCGAGCAGTTTCCGCCATAATTTTCTTTACCTTGATATTTAAAATACTAGAGAGAGGAGAAATGTACGAGAACAGAGGAAGAAAATGAGCAATTGCAAGGTCCAAAGACGGAGAACTAAGAGGAAATAGCGCCCACTGTGGCATTAATGCAGTCGAGAAATGTGTATGTGCTTCCCTACCCATCACCTTAAACACATTTTAACGGCATTTTTTTTGTGTGCTGGACCTACCACACATATGAAAAAACTAGAGTAAAATTACCCACCTTCCTAATTACAAAGATTACTCAAGCTTTCAGGGAATGAACACGCCAGAAAGGATGCGCGGTTTAGCTGCCACCTATTAAGACAAACAATGATGAGAGAGAGGGCACATTGCAAATAAAAATTGCAAAAGAAGACTGTTTGTTCTGTAACGCAGTTTATTTTCTATTGGTTTACTTGACTGGCTTTCATGCGACTTGTATCGAGCGCAGTTACTCAAAAATAATTCTGAACACGCCAATCATCACAATCGGGGTAAACGAGAACCTAAAAAAGAAATCACTCATGTCAAATATTTTTTTTTCCTTACTTATACTTTCTTATCGATTGTATTTTTTTTCATCGCTCTGTATATGCAGAGAAAGCAAATTATAAAGTAGAGGCGGGCGCAAACATTCCTCCGTCAAAGACCCATACACAGGTTAGCGATGCGCTGCAAAAGAGGTATTTTACTCTGAAACCGATTTAGTTTCAATCTCACTTGCGTGAGTTCTTCATCAATGAGAGCCTTTTCGTACGCTTGAACCGCCAAAGAATTCCCACAGTTTTTTAAGATATCGTTACGATATTGATCGAACTCTTGGCTGAATCTTTGAGCTGCTGCCTTGACTTCCGCCAGAGAGAGGGGCGCAGCATTGCCATTACTGACCTCGCGTTCGTTCGAATCCAAGAAAGGGATCATCTTTTGTAGAACAAAGGCTTTCCGAGGGCTACCGATATTCATATCATCGCAAAAATTTAGAAAGGTATCCGTGCTGGACGCTTTGGGGGCCTCCGTCACGGGTTTTGTAGGCGCCTGGATGTTTTCGTACTCTTGTTGATGCTCCTTGATGAAACCCTGGAAAGTCCTACTGTCATTTCCGCCAAGCATCCGATTTAGCTCCCGCTTCCACCGGTTGCGCTGTCGCAGCCTCGACACGCTGAGATGGTGAGAGGCCTCGAACGAATGGCTGGCGGCCACCGCGGCGTCGAAGGCTCCTTGTTTGTGTGCTAGAGAGGGGCTCTCCGTGCGGTGGGTTGACAGGGAACCAGCCCATTCCCGAAGTGTAAGCGGATGGCGCCTTGGCGTTTTACACGACATCGCTGCGGCGCTCGGACCGCAGGGCATGAGGGGGGACCTGGCTTCCCTTTTCCCCATGCACGACGAGCCGTGGCGAGCCGGCCCGAGGTTGTGCTTTCCCGCGACCCGACCTTTCGCAGGAATCCTGCCGCAATCAACGTCCGTCAGAAGCCGCAGTGCGCGTCGCCCTTGAGGGGCCCCCATCACCCAGTTAGCCTTTTTTGTCGCATCCCAGGACGCCCAGGTGCGATCTACCATACTGATCAGATCTGTGATGCTTAACCCGTCAAATCGACGCTGATGAGCCACATGCGTTAGGTAAGCCGCTTTTCCGGAGGCGTCTGCCCACGCCGATGCTTTCCATGCACGGTTGATCATAGCTGCATTCTCGTTGGCACTTTCCGCGGGACTTTTCGTTTCGCTTTCAAGGCTTGGCAGAGTCCGTTGAGGCGAATGGAACCTTAAAAGAGCGGAAGAAATACGACATGCCCGCGCGACATCCGCGGTTCCCTCAGGCAAAGCGCTGGGTTTGATGACGACCGCCTCCTCCGAAGACGGGGTACCCGCTTTAAGCCGCATGAACGTGCGCACGGTGCGCAATCTTTGGATTGCTGTGAATGCAAGCATACTTTGACCTTTGGTATAAGAATAAGTTGACTTTGGATAGGACGCCACCAAGCTTACCCTAGTTAATGAACAATCCCCTTTCAGCACGGTCAATCAGTAAATCGTTTAATAAGCTAAGAGAAGATATTAAAAAACCTTCACCTATTTTCATTCTATAAAAATCGTATCTATGTGAAAAATACCCCACCAGCTGGTTACCCCCCTTTGAGGAAATGAAAACCTCTTTTGTGGATAAACCCCCTTGTGGAATGGTTGCTAAGAATAATTCGAATGGTGTTTATATATATATATATATATATATATATATATCACGCGACTACCCAC